ATTCAACTCAAATTGTGAAACTCGTGTATTAAATAAATTCAATGCACACAGACTGAAGTCTTTGGTTCTTTTAATTGTGATGATTTTGGCTCACATTTAACAAAAACCCACCAATCCCACCAATTGACCAATAATGACTGATACACATACTTACAGGTGATCAGCTGAACATCACCAGCATGCATTTACTCACCATGTCTGTGTAAGCTCTGTGCACTTTAACTGCTTTGTCTAGCAGAGCCACTTTCTCTGTGTTCTGTCAATCAAAATTAGATTGTTACATTTTCTCTCATGCTGGATCAAATGCAATTGGAAAATAATAAGATGGTTTTGATATTGATAATCAAAAAGACAAGCTCCATAGCAAGATATTTATAAAGCAGCCTATTTACAGTCATGCTGTATGATGTTGCATCATGATGCATAATGCATGATGTAAACTACTGTTCAAAAGTTTCTTTGCAATGTTTTTGAAAGACATCTCAAGACTGCATTTATTTAATAAAAACTAAAAATTGCTATTGCTTTTTAAATAGCCATTTTCTATTTCAGTATATTTTAGTTTTTAATTTATTCCTGTAATGGCAAAGCTTAATTGTCAGAAGCCATTACTCCAGTCTTCAGTGTCACATGATCCTTCAGAAATCATTCTAATATTGTGATTTGGTGCTCAAGATACATTTCTTCTTATTACTATTATCAGTGTTTTGCTGCTTAATAATATCTTTGTGGAAACACTGATACAGTTTTTCAGTATTCTTTGATGAATAGAAAGTTAAAAAAAATTTTTTTTAAAACTTTACTATCATATTAATTTATTTCCAAAAACATTATCTTACTGACCCACAAACTTGGGAACTGTAGTATAATGCAAATGTGGATTCAACCATTCAAAATGGATTCAAAATGTCTACTAGAGGGGACCATACATGTTTGGTTGGGTCATCCATGGCCTTGACAAATTTAGCCGAGTCAATGGATGTTGAGCGTATAGTGTCGGTTCGGCCCAGTCTGAACATGCGGAGGGAAGCGCTCTCATAGGTAGGACAACAGCGCTTGTAAAACCTGAAACAGAGAGTCTGTGAATTAACTGAATAAGCTAAACTAATAATTAACTTCCTAATAATAACAGAAGGATGTTACAGTTAAGAAATAAATACAGTAAACACCATTAATAGCAGTGCTGGTGAAGTTTACCTGTAGTACGCCAGCTGGAGAGCAACCTGAATAAAGGCATCAGGGCTCATCTTCTGCGACTTTGGGAAATCTTTGCCAAAATGGGAAAACACACTGACTTTCATGTCCAAGTCATGTACCATTCTGCAGAGAAGGAGAAGAGAAACCTTCAAACTTTCAACATTTATCATACTGCAATGTTGTTTGTCCAATAAAACAACCAATCAAAATGTTGGTAATAGAAAGACTGAGTGGAATGTCTCGATTTCTTACATGTTCATGTTTTGTTTGGCCTCCTCAATGTCCTTTTTGATCTCTGGCGTGATGTTGAATCGAAGCTTCTGTGGCATACGCAGCGGGACCATTGGGGTACGGACCATCTCTGACGACTTCCTGTATAAATATGTGGTCAATCTTATCTGCGTTATGCCCCGTTCACACCAAGAACGATAACTATAAAGATAACGATATTAGCGTCCACACCAGCGAACGATATCGTCTGTTTATTCTAAGCGCACGCCCGTCTGCCACTTTAAATTCTCGAGCACGTTACAGCAAGATGGATTCCAATTTTTTATCATTCATCAGCTGGAAAAAAATAGTTTTGAAAGTGATTCCAACGATATCGTTTCTCTTTGTCTTTATCGTTATAGTTGTGGTGTAGACTCTGCTATTCTTTAATATTCAGAATGATTTTTAGAACTATATCTTTATCATTATCTTTATAGTTATCGTCCTTGGTGTGAACGGCCTTTAGCCATACTTACAATCTAGCCATGGGAAAACAGCTTTTCCACATTTAATCACTGTTAATCTTACATGTATTGCACCACATGGTCGATCAGTGACACGATGGGAGGGCCCTCAGCGGGGGCGTGTTCATAGATCAGCCCACATGTCCCGTCCTCTCCAATAATAAACTAGAAACCATATTAATCATCATGACAGTATCAGAATCTTGATACATTTTATGTTTTAGGCTTCATTTCTCAGTGAGAGTTCACACACATCAACTCGTGGGTCTCTAACCTGCAATGTTTTGTCAAACCAGCGATTTCCGCTGTTCCACCTGCTTCCCCCTCCATGCAGCATCTGAACTCCAGCACGGGTGCGGTACATGTCATCAGACGCACACGGCAAGGGGGCATCCAGACAGACTGTAAAGATACTCTTCTGAATGGCTCTCACAGACTCTTTGTTTGTTTTATCTGAAAGTGACACAAAATAAATTAAGAATCACCCTAAGTTTAACCCTAACCCTACATTGATTTTCTTTTAATGAACTGAAAGCCTGTAGAACAGCTACAGTAACAACTTTAATATTATGCCTGCAAAATTATAAATGTCGGATCAATGTGTCCTGGCTGAATATATGTATCAATTTCTTTCAAAAAAGATCCCAAATAGTATAGTATAGTTTAGTGATCCCAAACTTTTGAACTGCGGTGTATATTAGCTTATTACATGGCTCTGTGGAATACTTGATTCTGATTGGTCAGTCGCGACATTCCGAGGTATGCTATCCCTCGATAACAACCGGTAAAAGCTAATAACACAGGCTCATCCGGGTAACAGCAGTCGGCGCTGTACTCTTGCTTGAACTATTTTTTCTTGGTGGAAGCTTTGCGTTTGTTTAGCTAATAAAATATTAAAACTCGATTCAAAATGGTGTACAATTATTTAATTATGCCATCCTGGTATCGCGGGCTCGCTCTCGTTTCATACAAACGCAGCTGCTGCCATTTTGCTACGATTGTTTTGTACGCTGTAATGGATTATAAGAGAACTAACAAACTGGTAAGGTTTTAAAACATTTTCGACTTAATTCTTTTATTGCCTTAATTATTTTTGTGGTGAAATGTTGTGTAATAAGTGGTTTGACTGCACCGTTTCTCTTAAATGTCCGTCTAGTTTGAATTTGCCGCTTGCTCGCAACTGGTGTCTTCAAGGAAGCTTTGCGTTCAAATATTTCAACTCAAATCAATATTTCGCGTCTAATTATTTATTTATGTGGCAAGTAGCCGTGTAATAAGCGGGATAATGTACAGGTGCATCTCAATAAATTAGAATGCCGTGGAAAAGTTCATTTATTTCAGTAATTCAACTCAAATTGTGAAACTCGTGTATTAAATAAATTCAATGAATG